GCAAAAGGGGGTCCAACCCGTTACTAGCGAGGTGTACCTAATAAAGTGGCCGGTGAGTGTATATAATTTATAAATTGTTGAAATAGTACAAAAAGTAGATTAAGAAGAAAGAGCATTAGCCAGTGGTGTGAATGCTGAGTCAGCATTTAGCAGAAGTGAAGTATTTAAAAGAAATAACTAAGTAAAAGTAAAAATACCTTAACAGAAAATGACCAGTAAATTTTTCTTTTACTAAGAAGGAAAGCACTGAAATAAAAGTCATTAAACTGCTCACAATAACTGGGAAAGTAAAAATACTTTTRCACACAAAGAAATGAAGTGTTGAATTTAATTTACAAAACTGTTTCCTCTAAACCAGGTTGAGTAAATTACTTTACATTTAATCAACTTGGAATCAGGTGGCATAACTTGGTTGAGTAAAATAAACACTTCATTCCTTTTCACGATGAGTTCAGTAATATTTAAATTTGTAACATGTACTTAAGTATTAAATTTCAAAATAACAAGGTAAAAATGTAATTTTTATGTTTTGAATTTATCAAAATAAAAGTAAAAGTTAGAATAATAAAAGGTAAAATTGCAAATCCTCAAACAAATGATTTATATACTGTAACAAAGTAAATGTATCTACTATACACCTTTGGCATTCAGGCAAGTAGTTGCTGAAGAGTCCTTTTCCCCACTTAAAATCAGCATCTATCAACATCTAAAAATCTGTTGAACTGAAATCAAAACACGACAAACATGACACTCCTGAAACTGTTGGGGTTGGAACAAAGTGCTGAACACGTCTGACTGATCTTCCTCTGACCAGCTCTTACCTCCATGCCTGACTTTAAGTCGAGGTCGTCATCACAGTCTGACTCGTCTGAAGTGTGGAGCTCCTGAGGGGCGGGGCAGGAGGGAGACGGAGTGGAACCAGGTGATGGTAAGAAAGGGAAAGGAAAAAAAGAAATCAGAAATAAGGAATTTATCTCATATTTTCTCTCCTAAAACCACCTCAAATTTTGGTTTTTAAAAAAGCAGGGGCGGACTGGCCATTGGGAGTACCGGGACTTCTCCCGGTGGGCCGGAGCATCACTGGGCCGGTGCAGGCAGTGAGGGGTTCCCACCCCCTGGCAAATTTAAAATTTCCAACAAAGTGGGCAGCGACAAGAGACGCTGAGGGACAGGGCCAAGTGTGGGAATGAGCAAGGTGGTGTGCTCAACAAATAACTAAATTTTACAAATAATAAGCTAAAGTTTGCCATGGCAGTAGTGGAATCATTCACAACACACACTCAGTTGAAACCAGAAGTTTACATACACTGCATAAAGACAAATGCATTTTTTTCACACTGACATAAAATCAGATTGAATTTTTCCCATTTCAGGTCAAATAGGATTATCAAATTTTGTTCTATTTGCTAAAGGCCAGAATAATGAGACCAAAAATTCAAGGCAATTTTCATTTCTTTCTTCAAAGTCAAAAATTTAAATACACTTCATTAGTATTTGGTACCGTTGCTCTTCAACTGTATGAMTTGGGTCAAATGTTTTGGGTATCTTTCTACAAGCTTTTCACAATAGTTGGCAGGAATTTTGGCCCATTCCTCCTGCCAGAACTGGTGTAACTGAGACACCTGGCTCATAAATGCTTTTTCAGCTTTGCCCATACATTGATAGGATTGAGATCAGGGCTTTTTGATGGCCTCTCCAAAACATTGACTTTGTTATCCTTGAGCCACTTTGTAACCAGTTTGGAAGACCCATTTGTCCCCAAGCTTTACTTTCTTGGCTGATGTCTTGAAATGTTACTTCAATACTGTATTTCCATATAATGTTCTTTTCTCATGATGACATTTATTTTGTGAGGTGCACCAGTTTCTCTGGCAACATAACAATCCCACAACATAATACTGCCAGCCCCGTGTTTCACAGTGGGGATGGTGTTCTCAGGCCTGCAAGTTTCCCCCTTTGTCCTCCAAATGTAACAATGGTCATTATGGCCAAACTGTTCAATTTTTTGGTCAGACCACAGGGCATGTCTCCAAATATTAAATTGTCCCTGTGTGCATTTGCAAACAATCTGTCTTTTTATAGTAATGGCTTGTTCCTGAAAGAATGGCCATTAAGCCCATGTGGATACAGAACTGGTTTTATTGTGGATAATGACACACTCTTACCAGCTTCAGCTAGCATCTTCACCAAGTCTTTTGTTCTTAAGTTGATATGCATATTTCAGACCAAAGCATACTCATCTCTGGGACACAGAACCCATCTCCTTCCTGAGCGGTATGATGGCTGGACATTCCCATCTTGTGTGTACTTGCATATAATTGTTTGTACAGATGAACGAGGCACCTTCAGGCATCTGAAAATTGCACCCCAGGATGAACCAGTCTTGTGCAGGTCCACAATTCTCTTCCTAATATGTTGGCTGATTTCTTTCAACTTCCCATGATGTTACAAAATGAAGTAGTGTGTTTCAGGTGTGCCTTAAATTACATTCACCGGTGTGTATAAAAAATTTGTAATCCTGATTAACTTAAAATGGGAAAAGTTTATTTTGATTTTACGTCAGTGTGAATAAAATGCATGTCTTTTTATATAGTGTATGCAAATGTCTGGTTTCAACTGTGCATGCACACCCTCAGTATCCTGCTTTAGTTGTTATAGCTGTCCAATCACACTGTCTGCTGACGGTAGAGGCTAGGTCCCATAGGACCTCATTATGGTAGACCGTACTGTGGTTAGCCATTCCAGTGAATTTTTGGTGTGAGTATGTGACATCAGCAGGAGTCATACTCACTTTGGCCTTCTGTTTCAGCCCAGGAGAGCTCAGTGTGAGAGAAGGGGTAGCATTATCTTTAGGTTTACGGAGGAAGCCATTTTCTTGACCTCTGATCCCAAACGAGGCCCCGTCTCTGGCCTCTGCACGCTTCTTGGCCCGCAGAGTGTTCCAAGACAACGACTTCCTGTGCATTGTGGAAAGGACAAACATCATGCAGCCAGTCAGACAGCAGCTAGGTGGTGATGATCTCAGCGAGACTGCAGAGAACAGGTGTCCTCTAGTAACTGCTGACTTCATATAAAYTGATGCTTCTGTTGCTACAAAGTATCCGTTAATAAAGAGTCAATGTTTAAAATCAAAAACAAATGTTAAAAAGCTGCTGCCAACAGAATATGGATATTCTATAATCACTGGGAACAAACGGGGTTACCGGTTTTTACCAGTTTTTTAGGATACTTTTTCTATATTTTTTTTTTTTTAGTAAATCCAAAAGATTAATCTGGATTTAGGTTAATCTGTAAAAAGAACATTTTGCATTTATAAACATCCTTCTAAGTCATTTTCATTCATCTTTTTTTTAAAACCATGTCCTGTCAGGCAGTGTGAAACAGAATCAATGTCAACAGTTATACTCTCACAAGCATTAAGGCTTTCACCATAATGCTCTACTTGATATATACAGTATATATATTTAAACGTTATTAGAAACTGTTTTGGGATTATTTCGATATAACGGACATGGAGACAGAAAATAAAATGGAAAAGAAAAGGAGGAAGGTGAAGAAAAAGGTCAAAAGCGATGAGAGATAGTAATAGAGAAGAGAAAAAACACAACACCACCTTTGAAGTCTGCTTCTACACCTGCAAAAAGTCAAAACAAAACAAAACAGACCACAACAACAAACAACATGTGCGTCGATGATAATTATAGTATTATGTATTTAGTGGCAAACGTAGTCCCAACATGGAGTGTGAGAAACACCTTTATCTGAACACCTATTTGTGTGTGTGCGGTTGTGAGCCTGCTTGTGTATAAATAACGTTTCTTCATAGGAATGCTTAATAGTGATTGTCGAGACCTACAGATCCAAACCCTAAGGTCTAAGGCAGAGATGAGGAAGACCAGAGCCAAAGGAACTGAGAGGCATCCCAAACACGGAACCCCAAGTGGTGGAAAGGTGATCCAGGAGAKGGGGCAGCCCAAGATCCAGCCTGACAGATACCCAGGCACACACAGACACAATCACACGTTCCCACGCTCATACTCACACCCATTCATTCAATGTAAACACACAAAATGGATGCCATACACCACTTACACTCCCCGGGTATACCCCCAGTTCCAGGTAATGCCTCCATCTCCCACTGGGGGAAGCCCGCACTCAGACCCAGGAGGTAGTTCCTTCATTCTGGGGTGGAGAAGAGCAGACAGCCAAACCTCAGCATCAGCAGAACCGCTCGTCAGTCTGGACGAGGGTCGGGCATCCCCCAAACGATCCAAGCCCAGACAACAGCCCCAACTCCATCAAGAGATGAGGCCAGAAAAGCCCACATGAGCCAGCCAGCCCAAGCAGCTCCAAGACGAGACAGAGTCCCCCCTCCCCAAGCCCCAACATCCACTCCATGGACCTTCCACAACTTATAAGTCCTGACTTGAATTCCCCACTGGGCCACCCCCAACCAGCAGACAGACATCGAGCACATGCCCCAAAAACACACAATCAATCTCCCATCCACAGGGACAGAAGAGCTCCCCCTCCACAAAACCGATGAGAATGCCCTGCACAGAATTCGACACACTCCCCACCATTTCCCATCCCTCAATACACAGTGAGCTGTAACAGCAGGGCAAAGGCTCAATGCACCAAGCCATGCAACCACACCACCCCATCGACCAAACACTAGGACAGGACCAACCTCCTCTGCTAAGCAGCACCCGGTGGGAAGCCCGCACCCTGGACCGACAGCCCCCACCATACCCCTGCAACCATACAAACAAACCCACATTGCTGCCACTGCAACGTCAGCCATCACTAAGCCCAGATCCACAGTCACTACCCAATCAAAGAATTTAGTGGCCCCACATCTGAGAGAGGACCGCTACCCCCCCACACACACACACAGCACACACCACAACTCCAGAAGGCATCTCCCAGTYAGCCTCCCAATGCAGTGGCGAACAAGGCAATAGCTACAGAGTGCTAAGCCACCCAGCCAACTCCAGCAACTCCAGCCCACCCATCCAAAAGATAGCCCATGCATCCAGGCCAACCAAGCACCCACACCTGAACCGACCCGCAGCTCCAGGCCAAGCACAGTCTGCCACCACTGCCATAGGGTGCACCCCAACACTCCACCTACCCGACCACACGACCGCAACTGCAGGCCAAACCCAGGCCAGGAGTCAGAGCACAAGGAAGAAGCAGCAGAAGAAAAATTGGCCCAGCACACCAAAGAGGAGGCACTCCAACAACCCCATGCCACAGACCCAGAGGCGTCCAACCATGTCAGCAGTGTACCCCCCTGCATAGCACCCACACACCCGAATGCCACATCAGGCCAATAGGCCAGTCCCCTCAGCCAAGGCAAAGACACACCTCCGACCATCGCCGTACACCACCAAGGGCCAGGCACATGACCCCCAGCCAACCACAAAAAAATGGGGGAGAAGGGGCACATACCCCCACTCGCTTGAGAGTAGCCAGTGCCAGTTCATCCTCTACCCCAACTCCTGCCCAAAACCTAAGGGTCTACTTGCAACATTTGGGAATGGGCACATGCACCAGTGGTGAGACCGATTGCCCAGCTCACCCTCTGTATGCCATTGAGAGTGCCCACCCCCAAGACCCTATATGTTAGTGTCATGAGAATGTTATAAGCGATTGTCTAAGATGTAAAATAAAATTGGGGCCCAGACACGTAAAATCATTGCTGCTCCTCAGTAACCCACCTGCACCCCAAAGCCCTACGTGAGTGGTGTTGTGATGGAGTRGGTGAGAAGATGTAGTGAGGGATTTTGAGAAAATGGACTGGGGGATCAAAATGCCCTCCCAGGGAGCCATCTTTAAATACTATTTTATTTATCTATTTTCTATATATTTTATTGTTAAGCAGTTTTGTGTGAAATCCTGATTTAAAAATACATTAAAACAGTTTACTGCACATCTTTCAAAAGTGTTTTCTCCTTTTTCTGTCAGAAGTTTTTATTTTTACTCACTAAAAATCAGTGAACATGTTTTGTTTTTGGTTATTTAAAATTGATGCTTGACTGCACAAATGTTTGTTAAAAAAATAAGAGACATATTGTTTGGTGTCATTGGGAAGCATGGGGAATCCTCTTGTTTCCAGGCAAAAAGTTAAAATTTACATATTTTGACTGTTTATAATAAAGACTTTGGTTTGTCACAGATAAACTCTGTGCTCAGCACCAGGTACAGCACATTTAACATGTTAAATACCTGTATCTCAAGCAACGTTCCCCAGGGGTTTTGTAACTTTCTAAGTTGATAACTTTTTAATCACGAGAGATATTGCACCTGTGATATTGCAGCAATCCATTTCTGAGACAACTCTGTCCTTCTTTGACATGCTACATGACCCCTTTTCCAATGAAAAACATTTGACTTGTCCAGCAGCTTTCAAGATGACGGCCATCTTCCAGACATAGCCTAAAGATTGGTCCGCCTCATCCACTATGTGCTGCAGTGTTCAAGAAGAGGTTATCTGTGGAATCAAAATGGGCGTGTCACAAGAGTGGGCTTGTCTAAACCATAAACACTGTGGGCTACGAGGTCTACGTGACGGTATCCTTAGATCCTGCTTGACCTCTTTACAGCCTGACCCTGATCCCAACACTAAGGTTAACCAGGAGAAATGTGATCCAAGTAGGGTTCTCCAGAAAAAGTGATGCCGTACAGTAACGCCCCTTTTTTGCTTGTCCAGTAAGGTGTGTCCCTTTAAAAAAGTCCGTCAAATCAGGTGTGTCGCTTTAGAATCACMTTTCGTTGTGACACGCCCACTCGTCCGCAGAGACCCCTACTTGCAGTGTTCAGATGTTTCATTTTCCCATTTGTTGCTGAAATAAAAGCGTGTCCAAAGTCTTTTGACCAATAATGTAGAATCAGGAAAACGGAAGTGTTTGAAAGCTGTTTGAGATGCATGCAACTAGTTTGAGAAAAATACTGTCTTATCAATACTGTGGACATACTCAAAAATACAGCACCTGGAGGGCAAGCAGGGGTGGTTCTAGGGGTGGGGCCACAGGGGCATTGGCCCCATCTGTAATCTGATTGGCCCCCTGAAGTACCCCTGTCCTTTTACTCAACTGTCCTTTGTCCAAGAGCAATGATGGTGGAGGCAGTTCCATGCCCAAACACGGGTGGTGCTAATGAGTCAATAAGGAAAGTCCAGCATGAATCAAGCTTACAAGTGTTTTTCTCTTCTTAAGATTTGAACAATCCTGCAGAAAAAGTATTTAAACTCACAAATGATGTCAGGGTTTTCTCACATGCTGTGTGTTTGTGATTATAAATGTGCAGTAAAAATGCATGTRAAATTGGTGAGAATTTACTATGCAAGCATGTGTGACTGGTTAAATGTTTACACCTCACCAAAACCAGGGATTTGTGTGCAAGGATGTTGAACAAATACTTGGCCCCTTGATTGTCCCTTACTCAGAAAACCCATCTGCCACTTCTCAGGCTGTAGGCTTTAAGAGGTGCTCTCCACAGCGGCTGATCAAATTGTGCCACAACAACCATTCTTTTTGTGCCAAAACGCAATGCAGCTGTTGGCCGAAGTTGTTGCTGCAGCCCGGATCTCTGTTGCTCTCTTCTGAGTAATTAATAACTTACCTGTAACATATATGAACCTATGCATAAATTATCTGTAGCATATCTGTAACTTGGGACTATGGATGCTACGAATTGACTTTATAATAGCTGTGTGTATGCTCTTGCATTGTATATTTTGATGGTGTTTTACATCCAGCTGTTTTTATTGATTTTATTTAACTTTATTGTATTTTTAAAAATATTTTATCAGCTGAGTCGGGAACAACATGCGAAAATTAGGACTTGGTGTTATAACCTGAGACAGTGCGTCTCTCCCCTTGTTAATGCATACTTTATACTGTCCC